AAAAATCTCTCTCAAAAAAAAAAAAAAAAAAAAAGAGTTTGAGGTTGCTGTGAGCTATGATGCCACAGCACTCTACCAAGGATGACGGAGTAAGACTCTGTCTAAAAATAAAAAAAAGATTTAAAAATAATAAAGATCTGTTTATAATGCTTAATATGAAGTAAACACTTGATAAGTGGCAGCAATTGGGTGGTGCCTGTGGCTCAAAGGAGTAAGGCGTAGACCCCATGTGCCGGAGGTGGCGGGTCCAAACCCAGCCCTAGCCAAAAGCCGAAAAAAAAAAAATAAAAAAAGTGGTAGCAATCATTACTATACTTCAGGGTAGGCATGTGTGTAGATGACAACTGGGATAGGAGAAGGTACTGAGTTCCTGACAAGCCCTGTGGCACCTCCTCTGGGACTCCTCCCAAGCTAAAAAAGTCTCTAGGTGTTAATGTAACCCCTGGAGACCTGGCTCAGCTCAGCTACTTTAGAAAGGCATGAGGCAGGCAGGAGCCCCAGGGAGCCAGGTGCAAGTGAGGTTTAACCCCTTTCAATAAATGTGGAACAGGATGAAAGGCTGAATAGAAGAGGAACACATTAAAGCAAATGATAGGAGGTTAATGGAGGTGAGACACAGTTCTCAATTGCCCCCGAACTCATAAGTTACCTTGATAAAGCTCAGAGGGGAAAGCACATTCATGAAGATACTGCTCCATGGGTCTTCAAAGGCAGCATCAGAAAGGCGGCTTATGATTCCAGAGTTCATTTCCTGCAAACTGACCATCCCAGGTCAGAGGCTTGTCCCTCGGCCTGGAGGGTACTTCCTATACGATAGACATTTAGTACTGTCCTCACAGACCTTCAGGCCCTGGGTTCTGATGACCATATCTTCCTCCCCTGGTTGTTGGGCTCCAATCCCTTGCCATTGCTGACCTGGGACAGTTCCATGCAGGCTGAAAGCATCTTGTTTCCAGACTCCAGAGCAACGGGGAAAGGTTTCAGTGGTTTCCCATGATGATAAATTGGGACTCGTCAGGGATGGGTGAAGGGGCTCTACACACACTTACCCAATGACATATATGTCCAAGTCCTCTTTGTTCAGCTGAAGCAGATCTTTGAGATCTAGAGGGGGCGCTGCCGAGGCCACGTTCCATGTCACAACATGTATGCTATGAAAAAGATGAATGGAAAATCATGGAGGAAAGAGGGCAAGACTTTGTCCAGTAATGAACAGAAATCTAAGCCTGTTAATGGCTGCACTACAATCCCCTGCAGTCTTGACAGGAAATGCAAGTTTCTGCATCTGGTGGTGGGAACAGGGGTACTGAACAACAAGGCCTTGATCTTCACCGTTGTTCCCTGAAGCAAAAATCCCCACCCTAGACTGGCTCTTCCATACAAGCCCACAGCTGCTCACACTTGGAAGCACTCTGCTACTAACACCAGCAGAGCTGCCACAAAGAGCCCAAAGGCTTTGAGGTCCAGCAAGGGAAGGGATGAAGGGACTAGACAGCCAAGAATTTATTAATCCCATCAATTCCTCTAGCCATTCACATCTCATTGATCATCTATGGCTCAGTTAGCAACTTCCCACTCCCACTTACCAACCCAGGGGTTGCTAGGACCATCAGGGAAGATCCAGGATGGTGGTGTGTGTGTATGTTCAGATTTTACCCTATGAGAAAGTTCAGCACTAAAAGGATCGGGAAATTTAAAAAATAACAGAGACAACACTACGTTCCCTTCCCCAATCCTTCCAAACACACCCCAGGAGCACAACTAATTCTTCCAAGTACTTTAGCGAGCCTAAGGAGAAGCTTCTAAGTAACAGATTTCTCAGCATTTCTCTCAGAGTCTACCCTCTCTTGGGAAAAACTATCAGTTAAGATAACACTTTCCACCTTAGCTTCAAAGTCCTAGGGAAGCAAAAGAACTAGATCAAGGGCTCTCAATAACAGTGGTTTCCATTAGAGACTCAGAGGAAAGATAGAACTGCAGAGCTCTTTAATTAAATAGCTACAGCAACACTCCAAGGAAGCCCCAGACTGTGCTGAGTACAGAATAGGCAGGAGCTGCAGACTCTGCAGAGATGCAGAGCAGCCACAAGACTCTTGTGACTCCTAGGTACACTATAAGGAGAACCACAGCAGCTAAAGATTCAGAACAGCAGAGGGTTACAGGGGGTGGGAGAAAGTGGTAGTCCGCCCTAAAACACCTATTCTCCAGCAGACTCTGTTCTTAGAGATCCATGTTTTGAAAAGCACTTGAAGAAATTCTTGGCCAGCTTAAAGCAACTTCCTGCCCCTCCCTATGAATATAAACAATACAAAAACACCTTCCCAGCACTGGGGCTCAGATTCTGTGCTTCATTTGTTTACGATCTCCCCCTGCTGTCCAACAGAGGATTAAGGCACTCAGACTTTCTACTCAAAGGCTTCTTGTTTTCCCAGGGACCAGATCAAAGTGGATGAAGAGCAAAAGTCGGGATTTCTTGTTCCCCTTCTTAGGTTTGACGATTAGCAGCAAATCCATGCATTGTGACTTACACTAAGTTAGTGATTAGCGTTGTTCCTCATTAGAGGCCAGGCTATGTCACTTCATTAAAGGATCTTATCTAAATCTGATTTCGGATTTCCGGAGGTCATAACGGGATCAGGCAGACCTCATGATGCCTGTGCTAAATCTAAAGTACGAACAAAATTTCTATTCTAGAGCTGAGGGGTGAATGCCTTGTAATGTTTTTAACTTCAAAAGCCCAACAGGCTCTCCCCTTCAGAAAACAATTAAGACATCTGCTTGGGGTTGTCCCAGTAGGAAAGAGCTTGGTGACGTAAGTTGAGAAGGGCGCAAGGCTCGGGCTCAATAGAGAGCACTAGACAAAGGCCTTGAAGGATTTGGGAGAGTCTGTGTATTAGCCGCAGTGCTGTCAACCTGGCCCCTTCTCTCCTAGTCTAGTTCCGCCCCACTGGCCTGCAGCTCCGACTAGGTCAGAGGGAGCGATCTGCCGGGAACAGGCCGGCCTGCCCGCGGAGTCTTCCTCACCTGAGCTTCTTGCCTTTCAGCCCGGTCGCCTTCCGCGAGTTCGCTGCCGCCATCGTCCTCACGCAGTGGTCCGGCAGGGTCGTGTCTCCCTGGCGCGGCTGGTCCCGGCCAGAGCAGCCCTTTTGGCTGCAAGTCTCGGACACCGCACGCTGGGCCGATTGTTTTTCTTCCGGATTCCACCGGTCCGCCTCGGCTTCCGTAGGAGGCGGACCCCGAGGCCTCGGAGTGGTCCGCTCGGGGGAAAAGGCGGGATCTCCGAAGAGCGCGAAACAGCCAGAGGCTGAGGGAAGAGGGCCTAAGGCTACACCCGGACGTAAAAGAGGCGTGTCTGGTCTGTCATCCGACCAAGACGCAACACTGCCTGGCTAGGGTGTGCGTGCGGCCGCCAGTTCCCAGAGCGCTCCGCGCCAGCCCGCGGGCGGGGCCACCTCCGCCGGAAGTTGTGTCGCAGCGGTTATTGCCCCGCTGGTCACCGAACCGAGGGCCCTGGCTTGTGTATTATTTTCGCTCCAGCTGCCCACCGCGGAGACCAGAGGGCAAACGGGGATCGGGGGTGGGGGTGGGGACACGCAGTCTAACCGCTGTCCTGCTTGTGACCCTGTCTTTCCTCTACCCCCAACTGCAGGTAATTTCTCCAGTTCCCACGGCACTCTCATTGGTCCTGGAGCGCCTCCATACTTCTCTGCTCCCACTTTGACGTGTCTTTCGCTTTTCAAACTCATTGGATTACCTATGGGACGTTTGGGGGTTCCTGGGCTCTTAGAAAACTGGCCACCAGTATACGAAAAATAAGTCACTTCTGTTTGGTCTGTATTCAAGACCAAACATGGAATGAAGATTACTTACTTTACCAAAGATTCTCTGATTTGCTTCAAATTATTGGTTCTTAATCTTTTTTGGGGGGGGGGGTGGAGGAAAATGCGTGGGATTCCTTTGAGAGCCATGACTTTCTCTAGACAAATGTCAGTTTTACAAACAACCTTCTTGAAGTTCACCAACCTGGAAACTAGATTAAGAACTCCTACTTTAAACAAATATTTTGCTTGGTTCACTGTATAAGAGGAACATGTGTAACGGAGGGGGTCAAATGCCAAAGGAAATACTACTGCCAGTAGAAAATGGCCAGATTACATTCAGATATGTAATGTCTGTGTAAGTAAACTGACAAGGGAATGCTATTTACATAAATCCACCTGCAAAAACTTTCAGGGGAAGCTGTGTACCTTTTCCTAATCCTGCCCTGGTAAAGTGGGGGGACATCAGTAAGACTTAAAGGATATTTAACTTGGAAATGGGCATAAGGACATCAATAAGCTGGACTCCAGAAAGCTCTGTCTAGGATTTTATTAGACTGCTTTTTTCCTCAATATATGTGTATTGGAAGATTGAGACAAAAAGGCACAAACTCACATTAAATAAACAAGGTAATCTAATCAATTCTACAAAGTGTAGTTTGTAAAAGTAGCACTAGGAACCAAACAAAATAAGTCATGGAGTCCCAGGAGGGATTGTAAAAGGAGAACTTGGGAAGATTTACATGTGCCCTCAATACTGACCCTGTCCCTGACCTCTCTTCATGAGAAGGCCAGAGCCCAGCACCCCTCCTACAGAGGTACTGCTGCTTCCAGTTGGGACTATGACCCTGGAAATCCAATGGAAGCAGCTGGTCTGAAGAGGCATGGCACATACTCAGGTACTATCCCTGGAGCTGAACCTTTATTATAAGTCCCTCAAGTGCCAGTTAGTTTGGGGGTGGGTAAGGAGGGAAGGGGTACTTAAAAGAAGCCAACACTGTTGCCCAGCAGCAACACCATCCATGGGGATGGAACAGACCAGGGACATCCTTTGTTTATGTGGGCAAGAGCTCCAGACTGAGGTTGACCTCCGCTCATAAGTGGATGCTTTCAAACTGGGGCAACAGGTAGGGGTGGAGTGATATGTGTGGATGTCAAACAAGCTGAAGGAAGAAGACTAACATCTGCTGACCCTCAAATCACATAAACAACTGTCTGTTTTAGAATACCACAATATTTTCTCCCAAGATAACTCACATCTGGACTTTACCTAATTGATGAATGAAGAAGGGAACTCTTTAAGCATAAATAAAATTAATAGCTGATACAGAGTTTGTAGGAAAACATTTATATTTTCTCCAGTAGGAATGCTTCTCCCACTTTCCCAAATAAATGCTACCAGCAGTTGAGATACTACTAACCAACTGAAATGCCCCAGATGCATTACTAAACACTCCTGGAGGTGAGGAGACTAATATGGAGGAAGATGTCTACAGTAGGACATCTCCCTGGTCCCAAAGGGAACTCAATGAAGGTCAGAGCTAACCATGCTGAGGGGTCTGAATCTGTCCATCTTTAGCCCAGGAGGGCCACAGGGTAGCATCCATGAGGATGTCACAGGTGCAATCCTGTGAGAAGCTCCCTTATTGCACTTAGAAATAAGTAAGGCAAACAAACCGACAAAAACATAAAGATGAATCATCTCATCCCACTTCTCACTCCCTCCAACAGAGAGATTTGGTCTGTCTCATTAGCAGATGCACCCAGGCTAGCATGGGCTTGAATCAAGCCAGCATACTTCACAAGGTTGGAGGAATGTCACCACTGCTATGTCAGATTCTCCCACTAGGAAGCTGTACTTGGGTTCTGCCAAGTTGTAGGAGACTATGAAGCACTCGGCAGCTTCTATTCCCCTGTAGCCTGGACTCCTTTGCCAGTTTACTTTGGTAGAGTTCTATACTATGATCACTACTTGCTTTTGATTGTCCAGGACAGAACTCAGCATGGGGGCAGGATGAACTGAGTTCTTGATCCCCAAATTCCTTTCCAGCAACTGGAGACAAGAGGGAACATGTTCTGCTGGAAGAAAGCTTTTTGCATGCTCATTTTGTGCAGCATGAAAAGATCAGGACTCTCATGTCCTAATCAGCCTCAAAGACAGAGGACAGGGACCTAAGAAAGCACAGAGAAAAGAAGATTATTGCTGAGTGGCAGCACCAACCCAAAAGGGAAGAGGAGCACAGACATACAGAGCTCCTGGGGGTCAGACTGATCCATATCTATGGGGCAGACTCACTTCTAAGGGTCACACTGGACAATTCCCTCCAGG